TGAGTTCTTAATTTGAGATAACTTCACACACTGATGAACATATTCAAACCAGGGTCGAATCGTCTGACTTATTTTATTCAATTTTATCGTGTCGTCAAATGGGACGATTCATCCATTTATTCTATTCAGGTGGTTTTTTTTTGACAAAATTTGTTAAATTTATGATTAACTTGTAATAATCACGAAGCAGGTGTGTCGTTTGATAGCGTGCACGCGTCAGTTACCTAGCGGGCACGTGCGGTAGAAAACCGTTATTCTGACAAGCTCGGTCGATCAACCAAGACAAGTTACAAGTTTTAACGTCTGTTTGTACTTTTCATTTGCAATGTAAATTACCTGACAACACGGAAAGCGGATTTTCTCCAAAATTCGAAAATCAATAAGATATCAATAATGCATTTCCATAGCAAAATCTCAACTCAATGTCATTCAGGTTTTTAACCAATTTTCGAGAAAAAACGTATAATATCTAGTTTCTCAACAAGAAATCTTGAAGATTATTTTACAAGTATATAATTGGTTAATACAGTTTTAGTTCTGTATTTCACCCATGCATAAAGGGATAAATGTACAGGTTATATTTAAGTTTAATGTGAGCCTAAGGGGGAGCCTCTTATTAAGGCTAAGACTATTAACGAACATACTGCAATATTTGTTCTTCTTATATATATTTTCCCATAAATCGGGCCGTTGGTTTTCTTAAGTATATGGTATGGGTTTTTGCACATTGTTGAAGGCCGCACGGTGACCTCCTATATAGATGTTAAAATCCTCGTCCTTTTGGTCTCATGTTGATAGTTGTATCACTTGGCGTTCAAACCACATCTCCTTACCTATATATATATATATATATATAGTTTCTTCTGGATATCAATATATATGTTCCTGGTTTCTTTAATCCCACAACATGTATGGCTCGCATTTGTACAATGCAGATTCCGGTACACAAAACAGAACAAAAGACATGCATGGTTGTAAAGAGTATTCCTGTAGTTACATCCAAATACACAAATACATATAAATAAATTGTAAGGGAAGGATACTAGGAGAAGTTATTTTGATCATTTTGCTAAACTTTTATCATTCACTTGATAAATAAAATGGGTTGGATACTTCTACAAACTCATCAAATATACCAGGCTTATAATACAATATACACATAAGACTCATTAATGGCGCTAGAATCATTACAGTTGGAAGGCCAAAACAGTTACGAAGTGGAATTGCATTACAAATAAAAAAAAAAAACATAGATATTAAATAACTTTTATGGCGTTCTTGCATTTTTGCTTATCAAATACGCATCATTTTTTATTTGCAGAGATAAATGCAGTATATCCTATAATCAACGAAATCATATGTGTGTGTCCGTAGAGTATACTTTTTAGAAAAAAAATATTATCTGTCAGAGTTTTAAGTAAAAAAAAAACCGATATTGAATTTTAGAATAATATGTAAAATTTAGCTTTTATAAATTATCAAAAACCCCAGAGACAATATAAAAGAATTAAAGATCTGCTTTACTTGTCCAATCTGGGTGGTAAGTTAATTTTGACGGCATCGTTTTTTCCGAAAGAAATATATTTGTAAAAAATCTTGTTAATACAAGTTCTGTTAAAATGCCAGTTGAGCAATGACTCTAGTTAAACTCTAAATATGCTGCATGGCAACATTAACTTCGGACATTTTACGCTATTGTAATTCTGTACGATGAACTGTTATCGTGTTTCTATTTTTTTTTTAACAATACAGATGTTGACGATTTTTTTTTTATCATATAAAAACACTGCATGAATGTGACCGCATCCGTTAATATCTGTGTACATGACCGTGGTGGTTTGATATATGTCAGATTGACCCGCTTAGAAGTGGCGAGTCTCAAAAGGTTGCAAAGTAGACAATCAGAAAATGAATATTACAAGACCATGGCAAAAATGACGTCGGAAAACAATCATCATCACACAAACCTCTGCATATTGAGTGGCATGTTTTGAGAAGACAAGGTGCACCGAAAGGGTTAATATTGAGAGAGTATATGTCAAAGTTACTTCTCGTCCCATAATTTCCGCTATAAATAGATAAAACTTGGTAGTAAAACAGTGAAAAGCATGTTAAAATATACGTATGGGTCTCATTCAAATAGTTCCAGCTGTACATGTGGTAACCCTTGGGGTCACGAAGGATAAAACCAGATAACAAGACACAAGTTACCCTAAGCGTACTGATATAATGACGAATTTGCGAACTATTTGTATTCAACTGATTTACCTCACTTCTGTAAAAATGCAGTCTAGTTTCATATCGTATCAAAAATTCAGATGATTTTGTAATATAATATATAAGAGTTTAAGTTGATCGGGTATAATACGAGTACATAAAATAAGCATGCAACACCATTTCAAGACAAGTTATAAAATCATATATATCGAATACACAATTTAGTACATTTTACGTCAACTATACTATATGTTATATGAATAAAAACTTTGCAAATTTATATTGATTTAGAGTTATTTTTTTTTTAGAACAGTAATCTGTATATCTATACACGTGTGAATACATTATCTAGGAATGACTAGCGGTATTCTTTTTTATCAATAAATTTTACAAGGTTAATAAGGTATGAGTATTCCAGGTAAAATAATGGTATCGATGTAAAAATGAAAAAAAAAAAAGAAACCAAACAGGTCATTTTGTAAAGGTTAATCAAAGACTTTTACATGAAAAACACCAAACCGGCCTTATGCATAAAAAAGTGCTGAAGGTTTTATGGATAATAATCGATTTAAAAGATTGACACTGTAAATCTGCAAAATTCTTATACGTTTACAAAAATATGAAAAGAAAACCCTTTCGAGGGAGGCGACAGTGGCCTCGAGATCTACATATTACGACTGAACTCTTAACTAATCCAAGAAGATTAGCATATATGCTAAATGGGCAATGTACATTTGACTTTAACTGAGAAGGGAATTCTTATTTTGAACAGACTTATTAAACATATAATACCGGTAAGGGGACACCGACGTCGTATAATGATACAATTGAAAAATGAACTTCATTAATGGACAAAAATAGTTGTTGTGTTTATTTTGTCATATTTTGTAAAAGAGAAAAAATGTTAATGCTAGTATGAATTTAGAACTTTCTTTAATATATATTTTCGTTTTGTTTTTCTGTTTAGTAAAGTGAGCAATGCGGTTTGAACTATACCAACATTTAATGTTTGGATAGGATTATGAACCATTTTTAATAAAAACTGATACAGAAAAAAGTAAGTTAAACATTTCATTATTAATTCAAATTTTAACATTAATTTCCACCTTCATCAAGTAAGGATAAAATAAAAAAGGAAGGAATCAACAAAATTCATTTTAACCATAATTTATCTTATTAATATACATCACAATTCCTACAGATAAACTTTTAAAATAAAACATCCAGCAATGGCTTGGAGAGGTTTTCTTTTACTCTTTTCCATAGTATAAACTGAATGCTTGATTCTATCTGCTTTCGGAATATACTTTTCGTGTCACAAAGTCTAGTTTAGGTTTTTAAAAGTGTACATTCTACAAAATAAAACTTATATTACGGAAACATCAATATTTCTAAAATAAACGAATAATCTATCTTATAACAAACGTTTTGAAATTTCCGACAAACAATTAAAATTTTTAGTTTCTATTTAAAAACTTCGACCAATCTTCATTTATAAGCAGAACAAAAAGCGTTTTCGAATACATTAAAACTTGTATAAAGAGGAATATATATACAATTCACTTACAAAGTATTAAAAAGTTGAATAGTTTTTAACCATCCGAACTCTAAACTAATATAAATTGGATTGTTGTGATTATCATAATTATTATATAATTAGTGAAATTCTTTAATAATAAATAAACTAATTAAAATCTCTTATTTTTCAATTTATCAATGCTAACATGGCACAAAATCAACATTATTTAAATTAATCATATTTTATTTATCCTGGAGAATCATGTACCTTGATATGTATCATTTGCTTTCAAAATTACATTCTAAAAATGAAATAATTCTTTTGATTTTAATCTTTCAGTTTTGTCATGAAAAAATCATGTTGCAATGCGGTTTTGAATGATATCTATGTCATCTCCCATTCTGTTTGTGAATACCCGCATTCTCGGAACATCTGAGGCTTTAATTGAAATTTAACAAAGTGAAACACCAGTTTCAATTATTAAGTTAACAATGACACAAAAGCGATACCATTGTGCTTTTAAACGGGGTGTTGAAATACCAATTTGATGCAAAATTAATTTTATATTAACAATAGACTGAAACAGCACAACTCTTTACCACATTGGTGACGATTTTGAAAAGAAAACCAGTGAGACATTATCTACGATGTCGGTTTGTTAACAAACTAATTCTTAATTTTAATTAAATTTGACCGACTGATCTTTAATTTATTTCCAGACCGTTGATATTGTAATATTTAGTGCAAATGAATGGTCTGCTATATTTATAAATTAAAGAATCAAAAATAAAATTAAAGAATTAAAAATTAAATTTATTCATATATTGCAAATCGTGTGGATCCTTGTCTGAATTTTATAATATTAACTCACCTTAAACTTAAAAATCTTCAACATAATTATGTTTATAACCATTTTCAACACTACATAAAAGATCCAAAATGTTAAGCGAACTAACTATAAACTTATTTTAACTATTTGTTAAAGTTGCGTCAGTGTTGAACGAAAGTTAATTTAATTCTGACTGATACCAAGTGACTATAATGCAGTTTTAATTTACAAATAATAAGCAGCAAATTCCTAATTTATCCTAATTACATAAAACAATTTATTTAATCACCCCGACATCTAACTTTCCCTCACAAATTAATTTGATTCGGGACCTGATACTGATAAAAACCAATAACTGCCAATTCAATATTGAAAAATACAGGCGGACAATCAATTTTATTAATAAAGGAAAAGGGGTATCAAATGTAAGCTTACCTTCTAAGAATTTGTTCCGACTAAGCATATCTGATAAAGAAGCCCGTGTTGGACTTCCAGGACTATCTGAACGAAAAGCCGTAGTGCCAGGTGACAGATCCGTTAAAGTGGACATGTTTCTATTCAAATATTTTCACAATTTTCCCCACTTGTCCACAAGTTTTTCAGAATGAAAACAAATTTAGTTTTTCTGTAGAAAGTCAATTCTTAATACTTTGTGTCAGTTCTAATTGGTGGAAATGGCCTGAAAGCAGCCACTAGCATCACATGACAGAGATCAATGAATATTCATTGTGTATTGATTTCTCTGGAAGTGCTATAGCTAGGTGAGATGCTGATTAAGATCGGTATGACCTCCGGTAGAGCTTCGCACGTGTCCACCTGTCAACATACAACAGGTATTATTCAAGGTGACTGATTTATCCCCTATCGCCAACAGTTCGGCTTAATTTGTGTCTAACGGAAAAGACTGGAGGAGTGATTTTTTTCTCTTTATCCGAAAATTAATGTTGTAATTTGTAAGACTGCGTTCAATTATCACTTTGTTAGAAGATCACAGAAATTCATAAATTAAAAATCCGAACTTAATACTGAATCAAATCGCAAATTAACCGAACAGAGTCTCATTCCTACTAAATTGACTTATTTCAGAAATCTGATTGGTTAATACTGGTAATTATTGTTTTCCGTTTATTTCTTTTACTTTAATTTTTTGTTTTGTTTATCTATTTTTTTTTATTATGGAAGATATAGGTGAATTATGGAGTTATAATTAATTTCAACGAACAGATAAGCCGTATAAATAAAGAGTTATATAACAACTGAATTATATCTTACGGATGTATGAAATAGATAAGTATAAAATAAACATCTAATTTGAATTTTGTCTTCATCATCAAATTATTATAATGAAAACACTTACTCAAACATGTGCAAAATAAAATTCATATCCCCGATAGCTTTTTATCTAGTGAACCGTAGGGTATGTACTTTAGCTTATAAAATCCATATTACAAACATATTTTTCATCACAAAATAACCACAGTATACAGTATAAGAATGAAGGAAATTACAAAATTTATAAACAGTTTTTTTTTTAATTTAAGAGCAGTTCTTTCATATATGCATAAGATGTCCCTTGTATATTTTTCTGTTCAATATGGCTACTGTTTACATGGATTCGCCTAACTATTATCAGTTCTTTCGTACCTTTATAAGCATTTTTTATATATAGGAAATTTGTCAGAGAAATCATGATAAATATATTGAATAAAAATACAACTATTTGTGTTTCTTCCATCCCCCTTTTTTCAATATAACGGATATGTAAATATACGGTAACACATATGCATTTAGACTCATTCAATCATGCTTTATATATTATGATCGAAATTGTATCATTTGTCTCGGTTGATCTGGTTCATAGACCAAATTAATGTATCCAGGGGCCAGTTTCACAACGCTGTCTTATTACTAAGACATGTCTTAGGATGGTCTTACACAAAGTGGTCCTAACTTAGCCATTACTTAGGACATCTCTTAAAGTTGGTCATAAAGTTAGGACTACACGAGAGGTGTCTTATGATAGTCTTAGGATAGTCATAAATTAAGATTATCAAAATGATTTATCAACAATGAACATTCGATGTATTTATAGCAAGAATGCACGATTTTATGCTTTAACCTTATTATAACCGATACAGTGACAAATTGAATTCAACTCACTTGTACAAAAAAAAATTGACATCAATTTATTCTGTTTTTTCTCCATTTGTATTTGAATTTTCATATGTATATTTGAGTATTATTAATAGATTATTTATATAAATTATACTTATTTTTTGTATTAATTTTGCAAATTATCTAATTATGGAATATTAATCAATACGTTTAGTAATTTCTACCTTTACATGAATTTTCCCATAAATCCATGTTAATATTTAAAAATTTAAAGAACTTGGGACAGGTTTAGGGTATCTTTGCTAATATCATCCTAAGTCAGCTTCAAGGCGACGTCTGAGATATGTCCTAAGATTGTCATAAGAGAATCATAAGACATGTCCTAAGATATATATCTTATATATATATATCTTATGACAGGTTGTGAAACCGACCCCAGTATTTTAATTTCTGAATAATAAAAATGATAATCTTTTTGCAATATATTTCAAATTATATCTACAACACCTATATTTTGATATTTTAAATAACAAAATAGGAAACATGACGCTATGGTTAAAATATCTAGGGAACATGACGCTATTATTAAAATGTCTTGGAAATATAACTCAATGATGAAAATATCTACCAGTTCTCCGTTGTATGGGAATAGATTACCGGGTTCTAAATCGAATTATTTTTACTTTTGTTAACAATTGCGTATCAGTCTGCTTTTGCTCTTATACATTTAATTTTCAAAATAATATTATATATAAATAAGAAGATGTGGCATGAGTGCCAATGAGACGACTATCCATCCAAGTCACAATGTGTAAAAAGTAAACAATAATAGGTCAAAGTACGGCCTTCAACACGGATCCTTAGTTTATTTTATTTTGTAATGTGTTGTCGCTTATTACGTTTAACGTGTATTATTTTTTGTTGTTGCTATTCTAGATATACCAATATTCATCCGCACGCATCGTATCTATGTAATAACCATCACCATGTTGACATTATCGTCTATGATGAAACAATTTAAAAGGATCACCAAACTAAAGCAAAATATTGCCAAGGTATAAGGAGATGTCATTTAACACCGAAATGCAATTCCGGAATTATAGCAGTCAAGAATGAAAAAAAAATATAGCAGTAAAGAATGAAAACAACACGTTATTAATTTCATGCGTCGGAAGCGCTTTTCTGGATTAACTTTGATCAGGAACGCTAAAAGTCGAATATTTGAACGCCAAGGATATATAAGAACCGAAACAGTTGACGAGCTATATTTCTTATCCGTCCTAGCACCACAATGATTCTTATCTATATCTTAACTAGTGATACGCCAGAGGACTAACAGTATATCGGTATAGTCTTCGACCAAGTTATCATATTAATGATGAATAACGCAGACATGTAACATACCCATTCTTGACTTAAGGATGTACTTAGGTCAGGTTAAGAAATTTTTGTCAGATGTTCGGACTCTTTGGTTTTTTTCCTACGATACAGGGTAAAAAAAAATTTTTTTAACACCCTTTTTTCTTTCATATAAGACTTCAATAGCTCTTAAAAGGTCATTTACCAAAATTTAAGCAGATTCTATAGATTTCTTTTCTTTCGATTTGAGACCCAAATAAAATTAAATATCTCGAAAAGGAGCTCCATAACCTATCAATATTTTTAGCTTATTTTGTTCCTTAACTAATGCTCTTCTGATGTTCTGCTTCATTGATGTTCCGTATAGAATATAAAAAAAAATCTTTTGAAGTGATTTTTAGAATTAAGCTTACACTTATGCAAATATCGAACATGAAGGATGGCAAACGTGTACAATTTGTAAGCTGCACGAATCATAAAAATGAATAAAAAAGACAAATGTTATCAATATGTATTGGAAATAAGAGCAATGTTTAACAATCATATTCTATTGAATTTGGCTGTGCCAAATTCAATTATTTATCATAGGTCGCGTCAGTATAGCCGAGGAGAGACGAGACACTTAATGAAAACGCATTCACTCTACATAGAATGGATAAAAAATCATCGTACTGTTATGACCTGTAATAATTGTTTAAAACATAAATTTGACAGATGTAATTATACTTTCTCTCTATTTGTTGTTCGATCATTGACAAAAAAACGAAATGTGAATAAATCTGAACTGTTTTGATTTTAGTGTGAATACAACTGATATAACATCTGTTGATTGTATGGAAGAATTATCTTTCGCTAAATCATGTATTTCGTATGCTATGACTGCAAACAAAATTGCACTTTTGCTGACAAATGACAACACCTCTATTTAAATAGCAATATATCTGCTGAATATGATATGTTTACAATTAAATAGTTAATAATGTTTGTGATGTTTTTGTAAAATTAAAAAAAAACAACTAATTTCTCCAACGAAATTTGACATCAACAAAAAGGCTAAGAATACGATTTTTCTATCCAGACCATATTGAAAATAAGGATATATACAAAAACCATATGAATTATAATAAAAGATTACCATAGCTAGTCAGGTTTAACCTACAAATTTCTTCGAAAAATGCCTGCACCACGTCAGGAATATATGACAGTTGTTTTTCATTCGTTTCGTTGTTTGATAAAATCTAACATTTGATTTTGTCAGTCTTTATAGACTGTCCCCTTATTGAATTTACCTTGAAGTTCGGTATTTTTGTTATTACTTTTTTAAAATGCGACAATGGACTGTATGAAATAGACTTACAAAAGACAGTAGCGTAATTGACCCAAAGCTAATATACAAGCACAACCAACGTACAGGCGTAAAAACATGCCGATAAAAAACTAGTGACGAGTAGAACGTACATGACCATAAATAAAACAAGTAAAAGAAAACCACAAAAATGACAAAATATAGAGAAAAAAAGTTAAAAGAAGAACAAATTAAGGAGAGAGTAGTTAACCGATGTTCAAATCTTGTAAATCGATTACGAAGAGACAAAATCAAGATAACAAACAAAAACCGAGGAGATCGCATGGACTCCATGAGCGAGACTGGGTGCGTCGACATGGTACGCATTTTCTGTTCTGTTTCCTTTAAAAAAAACGTGCTAAGAACAAAAATAAAGAAAAAAACTATAAGAAGAACAAAGCGATTGTAAAAATTAAGAGAACACACACGAAAAAGGTATCGATCTTCTCTGGTCCATCGTTGATTTTCGCCCTGCCTAATATTCATTCCCTTGGTCAGCAAGCGTTTCTCTGAATGATAAGAAATTCATAATAAACAATAGTTGTAACCATTTAATTTGATTTTATTTGCACGTTAATCGCAGATAAGTATACGATTTTTAATCTACTTGTAGTCCCACGATTTACAATTACCATTATCAATTTGATCAAGTTTAGGGTAATTTTTTAGCGAGGACGGATAAGAAATATTGAAAATACTAGTATCTATGGTAGACGGTAACACGAAAATAGCTGTATTTTGTATAGTAACTATGCAAACCGAATTAAGAA